TTATTACTACGGGGTCTATAAAGGGCAAGTCTCATTTCAGTGAATTCTAATGTTAGATGTGGGAGACAAAGAATTCAAGGTAAACTGCATTCAGCGATTGCGTGTACAGAAGAGACTTGTAACTGGAGCTTTTCGTGGGAAGTTTGAGCTCTGGAGAGGATTCTTTGTGATTCCTTTATGAAAGTAATCTTCCCATATGAAATCAGAGCAAGCATCCATATCCAGTCAGCAAGAAGACATACTGTTATGAACTGGTTAAATGTATAGTTGTGGTCTTCCGGAAGATATTCTCAGCTTCTAGGAATTTATGTCTTCAAATTTAAAAGTTCTAGATGGATTTTTTTAATGTGAATTTGGTTGCTTAGTGAACCTGCATGAACTTTAGCTTCCACAGTGTTATAGCAGTTGCTTCTGCATTCAAATATTTGCTCTTGCATGGAAACAGGAGGGCAGAAATAATTCCTAGATGTTTATATGCATGTTGTTATATAATCAAATAAGGAAAAATACAGCTGTTTTTCATTCAGCTGCGATGTGTGTCAGAGACTTTTTCCTGTGTTCATTGATTACTTTTTTTCTTTTTAGGTTTGCTATTAGAAAGATAATGCTTCTTGAATTCAGGTAAGCTAAGTGGAGTGAAATTTCAAGTGTTTTTTTCACAGGAACCTGTAAAGATGAGAAGCAAATGCAGGACAGTAAGTCAGTTCGAAGGTAGTATACTCATTTGTTCCTATTTACTAAAGCCTTGAATTGTGTACCTAGGAAAATTAAGTGAGGAGAGCTTAATTTGAGGAGGAAATAATTTCAAAAGGGTAAGTAGCATCGGAGTATCTTGTTTTATGATTTTGAATTTCTAGTGTAGTGAAGCACTGAAGAAGAGAGTGGGAATGAAATAGGTGAAAAACTTGGGCCTGTAATTTGCAGTGTGTCATTAAGCCTTGAATCAGAACTTACTGAAGTCAGAGGAAGTTTTTAAGTCTCTTACTGTGAGGGTGAAAATGAATTGTGCTGCAGCAGCATCACTAACATTTTCTTCACTTGAAATGAAACGGATATCTGCTTTGGAGGTTCCTAAAGCTACTCCAGACTTGCCTGGAAGAAGTTGTAAAACATGTCTAAAATGGTGTAAAATAAATACTTGCAGTATTTACCTTATTTAAGGTAAACACAATATTTAGTGTTCTGTTTGGCTCTTTTATATCTCAAATGAGCAGAAGGAATGAGATGGTGTTTGGTTGAGATAGATTCTTTGTTTGAAAAGGCTGAAATTAAGTAGTACCATGAACTAGAAAAATAGGTCAAACTTCCCTCTGTTTCCAGCTTCTTTATTAGAAAAGGCAGAAGAGAGCATATAAACTATGGTTTGGGCGTTGACACTAACAGATGTCATGCTGGTAGCATGATTCTGGAATTCTATGCCAGCAATGCCTTGGAGTTCGAGTTTTTTAGCCTTTCTGTGAACATTCTTAATGTTACCAGCCTATAGTGTAACTTCAATACTTTCTGGTGTATAGCCCCATCTACTGCCATTTGTCCTGTAAGTCAATTTTCTCTTCACTTCCCCCACCGCATCACCCGTCTATCAAACTCGTCTGTCTTCACACACGATATCTTCCTGTCCTTCATTCTTGTTCGCATATGTTCATTCTCACTTGGGAACATAATAGTATTTTTACTAAAATGTATTGAAGTTTATTGAAATACCTGGGTGAAATGAAGTATGGAGTTCTGTGGACTTTGTGGGTTTTTCCTTCTTCCATTGGCAGATGCAAGCTCTTGGGAAGCAGTATGTATTTCATCTTGTATAGGCCTGTGAGGTTATCTCAGCTCCATCTGAAGCCGTGCATTCTGGCCGAGCTCCCAGAAAGTGGAAATCCCTGTGTGACCGTTACTGAGCCTTTTGCTCCTGGTTACATGCAAGTCCTCACTGCCTTTTTTCACTGCTGTCTCTGGTACTTGTCTTAACTGATATTGTGGAAATAGCTTGCTGTGAGACGTCGGAGAAGTAAGCTGTGGAAAAAAATAAAACTGGTTCAATTTGGCCTCAGTTTGGCTCTTGAGGGGGCAGATGAATGTTAGAGCAGGCATTGAGAGGAAGGAATGAATGAGCAGCTTGTTTAGGAAGAAGCAAGACTTTACGCTTTCTGGTGGCAGTTAAAGTAGCACAAGATGCGAGTGCACTGTTGAATGTTATGGATTTAGGGATTGCCTCTTCAGGGAGTAGATATCCTGCAAATCTTCCACAGGAAGTTAAAGGAGGGAGACAGTTGCTTGTCCACATAGACTCTCATCTGTAAAGTCTTAAGTTTGAGAGTGCCTTCTATGAGAAATGTGCCATATTAATGAAGAAGAAATGTTCATTGCTGGGAAGCTGCTATTTTCCAGTGTCCAGTAATTTATTTTCCCCTTTTTGAAAACACTTAATCACTCCCCTAATATTCAGTGCTTAATTGTAGTGGCACTGTAATGTAGTATTTTTATTGCCTTTATATGATTAGAAGCATAAAATATCTTTAGATGATTCCTAATTTTTTACATGAAAGGGTATTTAATAATACAAATGCTGTTATGCAGTAGTTGTCCTTTGCATCTTGTGCTAGGAAATTCTGCATGTGACACTCTTTAGACAAGTGAGGTTTTTTTCTTTTTCTCCTTTTGGAAAATCAACATGAATTCGTGTTCTGACTTTGTATTGAGCTGTGGCTACCTGTTACATTTGAAAACCCACTGCTGATTGTGTCTTCCTGATAAGAAACTCCTCTTTCATGTAGCAATTACTGATTCTAACAAGTTTTGCTGCAGTGACCTAGATGAGAGGTAACTTCAGGAACTACTTACAAACTCTAAAGATGGCTTTAAGGGGAAGGAGGAACAAACCCCTGTGGATAACTGCTCTTTCGAAGGAGTGACAGATTGTGTGGGTGGCAGCAACTAATGAAATATTCTTTGTCTCTTCACAGCCAGTACCTTGAAAATTACCTGTGGATGAATTATTCTCCAGAGGTGTCCAGTAAGGCGTATTTAATGTCAATCTGCTGTATGGTGAATGAGAAGTTCAGAGAGAATGTCCCTGCGTGGGAGGTAACCCATTTCAATTGCAGCTAGAATTGACTGTGATCTGCAAGTTGCAGATTTTGCAGTATGCTCGCTTATACTGACAGAAGGTAGCAACGCTTGTAGTGTTACAAGTAAATGGTACCTTAGCTGGAATGTTTCATAGGGTGTTTTAAAGTGTGTGTTCTTTTTGGAGAAAGCAATGGACAGATGAAAAATCACATGATTCCTTCTGGTGTGTGAGTCCTTTGTTCTGCTGTGTGATACCTGACATCAGCAGCAGCTTTTGCTTTTTTGACACTTGATAAAAGTCAGGCATTTACAGAGAAGTTCTTGCTCTGATACTGAAAGGAAAAAGTATTTTTATTTCTGTGGGTATAAGAAGGCACCATGGGAAGTGACAATATCCAATAGTGTCTTGCTTGAAATCTGTGAATATGATTCTGTAGTTTTCTTGCATGAAATGTAATACTAAGGTAATATCTCACTCTGCTTCTCTGTGTAGTGCTTTTTATGAAATGATTTAGAAATGATTTCATGTTTCTACAAGCAGTCCAGTTCTCACAGGCCATTTCAGCAACATGAGCCTGGTTAGAAATACTGCGCAAGCATAATTTCAGAAGCACGCGTACTCCGGTAGTAGTGCTATTACTTCAATGCTGGTAAAGGACAGAAGATTAATAACTTTCTCATATGATGTATGTGCCTTTCTTTGTTTTGACATACGTACTAGATGGAAAATGACAGGTGCATGTTACTTTCCAAGCAGCTTAGCTAAATTTGTTATTTGGTAAATGGCTGCCCTTGTAAAGAAACCACTTGATCTTCACAATTACTTGGTTTATCTTTTTCTGGCTTAGGTACCTGAATGGGAATTCCACAACTAATCATTCTCTGGTGGTTTTTACCTACTCACTTCTTGCAGATCACTAAAGAGCTGCCACATGTTTGGCCAAAATCTTACAATTCTCTTCTAACCTGTGTCATTTTAGAGTAATACTGTGTGACCACCAGTTGAACATTCCCACAACACAACCCACTCCACTTGTGCTTCTTGTTCAGTTTGTCCTGTGCATCACCTGTGTTAGACTGTGTAGGGGCAGTAGTCTCACTAAAAGCATTCCCATAATGTAAGGATTCCTGGTCTGTTTTGTTTGTGCTGCCTGGTCAGAATAAATGAAAAAGAAAAACTGATCCTTCCTTTTATTGACTCAGATGGATTTAGAGAACTTAAACTATGTTGTGTGAATGAAGATTGAAATTATTTGTATCAATCCGACTCAACTTCTTCTTCTATTCCTAGACATTCAAAAAAAAGACAGAACACTTTCCCTTCTTTTTTAAATGCATACTGGAAGCATCGCTGGTTGAAAATGACAGTGAATACTCTCTTCATGAACAGACAGTCTTGCTGCTTTTCCTTGATCACTGCTTCAATAGTTTGGTATGTTAAAAACAACTATTATACTTCCAGTATGTTTATGCTGTTATGTCTTAACAGGAGTTTAGTTTGAGCAATTTTGCTTACAAGACAGATGAAGCAAAATTCTCATTTAAGGGATAAGATGGTACTGGAGGGCTCTTACCCCTCTTTTTGACTTTTGATTTTTCTCTCTCATTGTGTTTGCTTTTCTCTGACACAAGGTCATAGAGAGACTTGAAATTGGAGGATTAGCACTTAGTGCGATGTAAAGGCATATGTTCAGGCAGGTTTATATTTAAAATGGTGCTTGAAAAAGTATGTATTTATATTTGAAAAGGTGCTTTACACTTAACAGCAAATTACTACTGTACTCCTTTTAGTTTGCCTGGGAAATTGCACAAAATTACTCTTTCTCAACAGTTAATGGAAATTATTTTTTTCACTTTCAAAACCAGGTTTAGATAATACTGCTATGTGCATTTCGCTTGAGTTAGTTTTAAGAATGCGTTGGACCAAGCTGTGTTCTCAGCCTATAGTAAAACCACACAGTTATAGATCCTAATTAGCAAGTGTGGAGATTGAATTACAATTATCTATTATATGAAGCAGTAATCTGTTACTTTTCTTACTGATGGGCTTTTTCTTTACTTATGTTGCACACAGGATGAAATCAGTCAGCATCAGGGTCTGCTTGAGTAAAGAACAAAATTGTGTCTTGCAGACAATTGAGAAAGGGTATGATTTGATTTTGAAATAGGAATGATTATGGGAGCCAGTAATCATCATGAATCTTAGTTGTATAGTTTATTGAGGTGGTATTTTCAGTAGTGGCCAGGGTACAGTGAATCTACATTTTAAAGGAGGGTTTGATAGTGGCTATGGAATCCTACTTCCAGGGCATATTTCTCATATAACACGATATAGGAGCCAGTAAAAAAGTGCTTGTAAAATGTATTGCTATTTGAAGCCTCACTTTGTGAAATGTAGAACAGGATAGTCACAGTAGTGTTTTAAGTGAGGAGCACTGAAATGCCAGGTTTCATAGTGCTGAACGCAGACTATTTGTCCATAAAGACATTTAATATGTTAATGGAAAGAAAGAAAACTTTGTGGATCCAGATTACAGGCAGAGTTGGAGAGAGGACATTTTCATGTAACTTCAACTGTTGTTTCAAAAAATTAGTTATTTCAGATAATGGGAAGGTGTAGATGAATTGGGAGAAACGATAAATGAAGAATAGAATAGAAATAAATAAAGCACAGTAAGAAAATTCTGTTCAAGAACAAGAAGGAACATGTGTTCTTATCAGCTTCTATGCTGAAAATAATTACATGGATGGGGCTCCATCCATTAAGAACTACCAGATTCCATGAAAAGAACCTATAACGCGGAAGTCATCAGCAGTTTCAAGTGTTACTGGATAGGGCTATTTGCAATTTCCTGATAGGAAATTGTGAAATCTGATACAACAACGTATGTATTTTTTTCAGACGGTAATGTTCATTGATGTATTTTCTAAGATAGGCATATCAGAAGACTTAAGAATTTAAAAAAAAAACATTTTCTGTCTGTAACTTTCTACCAGGAAGTGGATTTGATCAGAGGACAGGTGCAGCAGCTCATTTCCTTACCAATGTGGATGGCCCTACAACCTGTAAGCATCACACTGTAAACTGGGAAAGCAATCTTCTAGGCATTATGTAAATCGTGTGAAGTGAATTCTTGGGGAATACTCTCACGGAAGTCTAATATTTAAAGCTGCCTGCATTGCTATGGAATTATATTTTTGTGTGATTGGTAAAATTCTCTTCATCATTTGTTGCGAATTGCCATGTAATTGTAATTGTTAATTCTGTAAATTTTCATAAAACTAAGCTTTATTGTTGATAGCTTTTTCACGCTATACTTTGTAGACAAAGCCATGAGATCATAGGGACTGAGGAATGAAGCTCACATCTAGCCATGGCTAGATTCGCTCTAGCAGAGAGAGTTCCTCTTTCACAGTGACACTGTGAGATTAGTACAGTGATACTAAGAGATTAGTCTGAGACAGCTATTCATTTCTGTTAGTTATATCTGTTTTCTTTTTTTTTAATAAGAAGATTGGGTTGTATTTTTATCTCTCGTGAAAACAAGGTTTCTTGGTGACTGAATACCATTTCAACATTTCAGAAACGTCTGGAACAAGAGCTGAGAAAGACACCAAAACTAAGAAAATTCTGGAATCTAATTAAGAAAAATGATGAGAAAATGGATGAGGAGGCCAGAATGCGGTATGTTACAGAAACCTTTGCTGTTAAATCCAGAGTCCTTAATGTATTCATTGTGTTTCAGCTAAAATAAATTGTTTCAAAAAGAAATGTGGGTTTTTTCAAAAAAATAAAGGCAAAAACCTGTGAAGATGGCAAATACAGACGGATCGTATCTGGTCTCCTGGAAACTGTTTTCTGTCAGTCTTTATGCAAAATACTATTACAGAACTCCTAATATTTTATTTGATCAGTGAATTTATGATATTAAATCTTAGAGCTATAGGATGAAAGCCCGAAGAGAATATTCATGTAGTTACTCATATTTTTTTCATGACCTTTAGCAAATGTTCAGTTTTAAGCAAGTATTTGAATAAATTTGTATCTCACCAAAGTTAAATGTTCCAATACTTCTGTGTTACAATGTGGTGAGGTGTAGGTGGTGACATATTTTTTTTTTTTTTGGACTCGGTAGGAGCATGGGTTGTTAATCAGTTCTGTACCTAGAAATGTAGACTCTGCTAACCTGTGTGCAGAGAGAAAAGTTATCATCTAAACAGTTTAGGTGTGTTTCAAAGCAACTTGCTACCATTATATAAATTTTAAAGCAGCTACCTCTGTATTAGTGATCTGATGTTTTTCTAGCCTCCATTTAAGGAATATTAATGCTTTTGTCATATGTGTTATTTTAGAGCATATCAGGAGAGAAGATTTCTTTCACAGCTCATTCAGAAATTCATTTCTGTGCTGAAATCAATACCTGTCTCAGGTAACTCCGGTTCTTATGTTACTTTGTAATCTACTGATCTGTCTTAAATGTTTTTTCTGTTACTGAAGCAACTACTCCTTAGGATACCAACCTGAGGTTGGAGACCTTATCTGGATGGGGTTTTAGTGAAATCCATGCCTGTCTGCATGGATTTCATGTCAGATTTAGTATTCAAATCTCCATATACTTTAAAAATGAAATAACACAAAGCTACTTCTGTTCAGTAGTAAAACTTAGTAAAAAATATTTCTGTTGCTGATATTCCTTATTGTGTGCTTACAGCCTTCTTAGAGCGTTAAAGCATGTCATACATGCTTAGATGCCTTGTTAAACAGGTGGTATAAATGCATATCACAAGGCTCTGTTCTGTCAGTACTACTGATTTATGGTAAGAACAAAAGCCTAAGTGAAGTGAAATTCTGTGAGATTCAACTGCTCTTGATTTATAAGTCATTTTGACAAGCAAAATTATATGCTTGCCTGATTTAGAAAGGAAAAGTGTTTGCACAGGCAGGTGTTAGCCTTTTGACAAAAAAGACTTATTGTACTCTTAAGTACAGCACAATTTGGGTGAAATAACTTCCCGGAGTTGTGCTTTTGCTCTTAAACTTTAAGCAAACTTCAGATCTTACTTGAGCTGTAAGGGGAAATTCTGTGTATCGTGGCTTCCTCAGAAAGATTACCTATCCCCTCTGCTTTCCTAACTATGCAAGCTCTCTTTAAGGAAGTTTTGCATTACGTGAACACTTCTTTGGAGGCTTTAGGAAATAGATATTCATTAAGCAGGCTTACTGTTGTGTTTTGACATGATTCTAAAGACTCCTTAGTAGTCACCACTGAGGGCCTTTGAATATTGTCAGGCCTTGATTGCAGCTTTTAAATAGGTATTTTAGAGTACCCGGAGTTGAAAGTTCCGAAGAAGCTTAATGGGCTATTGGAAGGGGCCGCATCTTGTGGAAGTGTGCATTTTCATATGTCACATTGATTGCTTCTTTCAAAGCAGATAAAATCACTCCTGGAACTCAGGTTCCATAACTGTCTTACATCCAAAACTGTTCTGGTTTGCAATTAAAGAAGGGACAGTTCCAGAAAAAGAGAAGAATGTGCTAGTTAGCTTTTAACAAGAATAAAAAGTTAGTGTTGGCATATTAGTAGAATTTATTATATTTTTTAAAAAAATCAAGTACAAATATATTGTGGTGTGGACTAATTGCAAAAATGTTTTTATTTTTTTCTATCTAGGTCCTATTTCTATGGACAAAGTCCATTATTGTGAGAGATTCATTGAACTCATGCTAGATCTTGAGGTAAGTTATTAAATTGTTTCAGCTTGTTTGCAAGTGTACTCTTCTAGGCTTTAAATGCATAAAGTCGTTACTACAGCCTTATTCCAGTTAGCAGGTGGTTATGTCACAGTTGTGACAATACCCAGAAGTATTCTTCCCAGTGCGTAATAGGGCACTTAAAGTATCTTTTGTGTTGTTGAGTATAATCCCAGAAAGGGTCAATAGTTCTGAAATGTGAACTATTCCTGTTTGAGTAGAATTCATTATTTACAAGTAACGGTTCTGGTGATCTAGGTTTGTTACAGAATAATAGGAGACCAAGGGAGGTTTTGTGGATTTTTTCAGTAGGTACTGAGAAAGTGGGACAATTTTAAGCTTCACAGTACCAGAATTAAAAATAGAAGACATTAATTTACTATTTCTCACATGAGTAGCAATTAATTTCAAATAACTTCAGATTTAGAAAATGTTCTGGAATAAGACAGTTTTCTGAAACAGTAAGCACTGAGAACATTAAAGTGGGTTGAACTCATGCAGACTAACTGTCCTCTGCTAAATCACTTAAGTAGCTTGAGCCTGTAGTTGTAATAAAATGAATTGTTTAAATTAGACCCTATAGTCTTAGTCTTATAATATACTCTCATAAGAGAAAATATGTATTTGAAATTAAACTTAAGTCTGGCTGTTAGCCAAAATGCTTAGGGGCATTGGAGAAGGACTTTTTACAAGGGCA